CCAATTCGACTGCAATCATCCTCTACGTAGATGATATCCTATTAACTGTGTTTGACCCTCTATTCCCTGCCAAAGTGCAGAAAGGGAATCAGAAAGTCCTAAGAAGAGAATTGGAAGGTTCTGACAAAATGTTACTCAAGACCGTGGATTATCTGCCTTGAACTGGATTATATGGCAGTGTGGACTCATATAATCCAGTCCAAAGCAGATGACGTGGAATATCTGATTTGATAATCTGGATTATTTGGCAGTGTAGAAAAGGTCTAGGTCAGGTAAAGTGCTCCTGAGAGATGTCTATCCAACCTCTGGGGAAAATCCAGAAATAATAATAATAGTAGTAATAATAGTAATAATAGTAATAATAATAATAATAATAATAATAATAATAATAATAATAATAATAGATGAGTCCATCCAACCTCTGAGGGATGAGAAAGCCCATCCTATTGTTCAAAGGTAATCATAATATATTTATTATCCACTTCTCCTTGTGGCCAGAAAAAGACTACGTGAAGTTGACGTGGTATCAAAGTGGCACCCAAGTTTCCTTCTCACCTGAAGGGACAGTGCTCCGGTCGCAATGGCCGTCCTTCAAGAGACGGTCCCGGATCTCCCAGCTAAACATTCCGGGATTCTCTCGTTTGTATTCCTCGATTTTCTTCTCCACGTCCGGAGTAGCAACCTGCTTTTGGGGTCAAGGGACAGGGACAAAAATGGGGAAGAATTTGGGAACAGAAGAGAGAAGAAAATCCACTTTTAAATTCACATTGTTGCACAGCAATAGAATCTGAAACTGGCACTCCCTTTTGACTCTTAAGATGGCTCTACATTGCCACTACTAAATAAATAGTAGATGGAGACTAACATCTTCTTCCTGAACAGCTCAAACTATTTGGAAGTTCTTCCTAAAGTGACTTCTAATATGTTTTGATGTCATTAATTCAGGCCTAGGAGACTAGAAATACATTTGGAATGGCCAGATATCACTGTCTCGCTTACTTACTTGTTTCATGCAGTTTTTCCTCTTTCATTATTATAGTTGAGACCAGTTTGGAAATCTCTATATTTGCTGGGCCCATAACCCATTGGGAAATCTTCCTTGTGACTGTCTTTGCTGGGCCCATAACCTGTTGGGAATTTTTTCTTGCGACTATTTTTGCTGGGCCCATAATCCATGGGAATTTTTTCTTGCGACTATTTTTGCTCGGCCCATAACCCATTGGGAATTCTTCCTTGTGAATAATTTTCCTGGGCCCATAACCCATTGGGAATTCTTCCTTGTGACTATTTTCGCTGGGCCCATAACCCATTGGGAATTTTTCCTTGCGACTATTTTTTCTGGATCCATAATCCTGGGAATTCTTCCTTGTGACTGTTTTTGCTGGGCCCATAACCCATTGGGAATGCTTTCTAGCGACTATTTTTTCTGGGCCCATAACCCATTGGAAATTCTTTCTTGCGACTATTTTTGCTGGGCCCATAATCCATTGGGAATTCTTCCTTGAGACTATTTTTTCTGGGTCCATAATCCTGGGAATTCTTCCTTGCGACTGTTTTTGCTGGGCCCATAATCCATTGGGAATTCTTCCTTGCGACTATTTTTGCTGGGCTCATAACCCATTGGGAATTTATGCAAGATTGCCTGAATCCCAACAATTTTGGCCATCAAGGCCTTGTGTTTACTAACACCTGCTCTTTGCTTCAAGACACCTGCTCCTGGAAACCAAGCTTCCTCATTCCTCTCACTTGTTCCTTACTTCTTTGTTTGGGGCACAAGTTTGGACAACAACAGCCATGGAAGGGCTTTCCTTTGTCTCCCCTCATCTATGGGTCTACTCTAAGTGGACTCACCAACCGAAACCGGAGGTTTGGATGCTGCGTAAAGCTAGCGACTTTGGAGAGGCCACTCTTTGGAGAGGCCACTTTTTGCAGAGCCCTCCAGACTTCCTTTACTTCCTTAGGGCTTCCCTTAGACTCTCCTCATCCATGGGTACCAATAAGTCTACTCGAAGTAGAGTCACCAACCCAAAACGGGGGTTTGGATACTGTGCGTAAAGCTTACAACTCAGCTCTTTAGAAAGGGAGAAAAGTTTGGAGATGCAACCTTTTGGATAGGCCACTTTTTGGAGAGCCCCCCAGCCTTCCTTTACTCCCCAAGGCTTCCCTTAGACTCCCCTCATCCATGGGTCCCAATAGGTCTACTCGAAGTAGAGTCGCCAACCCAAACCGGGGTTTGGATGCTGTGCGTAAAGCTCAAAACTCAGCCCTTTGGAGAGAGGCAACCTTTTGGCAAGACAAGTTTGGAGAGGCAGCCCTTTTTGGGGAGCCGCCCAGCCTTCCTTTACTTCTTTAGGGCTTCCCTTAGACTCCCCTCATCCATGGGTCCCAATAGGTCTACTAGAAGTAGAGTTACCAACCCAAACCGGGGTTTGGATGCTGTGCGTAAATTTTGAAGAATTTTGAAGAAGCAACCCGAAAGAAATTTGGAGATGCCAGTTTTTGGAGAGCCCTCAGCCTCCCTTTACTTCTTTAAAGCTTCCCTTTGACTCCCCTCATCCATTGGTCCCAATAGGTCTACTCGAAGTAGAGTCACCAACCCAAATCAAGGGTTTGAATGCTGTGCGTAAAGCTCACAACTCAGCCCTTTGGAGAGAGAGAAGTTTGGAGAGGCAACCTTTTGGCAAGACAAGTTTGGAGAGGCAGCCCTTTGGAGTGGCCACTTTTAGGAGAGCTCCCTCCCCCTAGCCTTCCTTTACTTCCCCAGGACTTCCCTTCGACTGTCCTCATCCATGGGTCCCAATAGGTCAACTCGAAGTAGAGCCACCAACTCCAACTTGAGGTTTGGATGCTGTGCGTAAAGTTAGCGACTTTGGAAAGGCCACTTTTTGGAGAGCCCCCCATCCTTCTTTTACTTCCTTAAGGCTTCCCTTCGACCCCCTCATCCATGGGTCCCAATAGGTCTACTCTAAGTAGAGTCACCAAACCAAACCGGGGTTTAGATGCTGTGCGTAAAACTCACAACTCAGCCCTTTGGAGAGAGAAGTTTTGGAGAGGCCACTTTTGGAGAGCCCTCAGCCTCCCTTTACTTCCTTAAAGCTTCCTTTGATTCCCCTCATCTATGGGTCCCAATAGGTCTACTCGAAGTAGAGTCGCCAACCCAAACCGGGGTTTGGATGCTGTGCGTAAAGCTCACAACTCAGCCCTTTGGAGAGAGAGGTTTTGGCAAGACAAGTTTGGAGAGGCAACACTTTGGAGAGGTCCCTTTTTGGAGAGCCCCCCAACCTCACTTTAGTTACTTAAGGCTTCCTTTAGACTCTCCTCATCCAGGGGTCCCAATAGGCCTACTCTAAGTAGACTCTAAGTAGAGTCACCAACCCAAACCGAGGGTTTGGATGCTGTGCGTAAAGCTAGCGACTTTGGAGAAGCAACCCTTTACAGAGAGAAGTTTGGAGAGACACCCTTTGGAGAGACCACTTTTTGGAGAGCCCCCAGCCTTCCTTTACTTCCTTAGGGCTTCCCTTCGACTCCCCTCATCCATGGGTCCCAACAGGTCTACTCGAAGTAGTCACCAACCCAAACCGGGGTTTGGATGCTGTGCGTAAAGCTCACAACTCAGCCCTTTGGAGAGAGAGAAGTTTGGAGAGACACCCTTTGGAGAGGCCACTTTTTGGGGAGCCCCCCAGCCTCTCGTAACTTCCTTAGGGCTTCCCTTCGACTCCCCTCATCCATGGGTCCCAATAGGTCTACTCTAAGTAGACTCTAAGTAGAGTCACCAACCCAAACCGGGGTTTGCATGCTGTGCGTAAAGCTCACAACTCAGCCCTTTGGGGAGAGAGAAGTTTTGGCAAGACAAGTTTGGAGAGGCAACCCTTTGGAGAGGCCACTTTTTGGGGAGCCCCCCAGCCTTCCTTTACTTCCCAAGGCTTCCCTTTGACTCCCCTCATCCATGGGTCCCAATAGGCATACTCTAAGTAGACTCTAAGTAGAGTCACCAAACCAAACCGGGGAGTTGTGTGCGTAAAGCTCACAACTCTGCCCTTTGGAGAGGGAAGTTTTGGAGAGGGAACTCTTTGGAGAAGCCAATTTTTGGAGAGCCCTCCGGCCTTCATTTACTCCTCCAGGACTTCCCTTCGACTCTCCTCATCCATGGGTCTCAATAGGCCTACTCGAAGTAGAGTTACCAACCCAAAACGGGGGTTTGGATGCTGTGCGTAAAGCTCACAACTCAGCCCTTTGGAGAGAGAGAAGTTTTGGCAAGACAAGTTTGGAGAGGCAACACTTTGGAGAGGCAACACTTTGGAGAGGCCCCTTTTTGGAGAGCCCCCCAACCTCACTTTAGTTACTTAAGGCTTCCTTTAGACTCTCCTCATCCAGGGGTCCCAATAGGCCTACTCTAAGTAGACTCTAAGTAGAGTCACCAACCCAAACCGAGGGTTTGCATGCTGTGCGTAAAGCTCACAACTCAGCCCTTTGGGGAGAGAGAAGTTTTGGCAAGACAAGTTTGGAGAGGCAACCCTTTGGAGAGGCCACTTTTTGGGGAGCCCCCCAGCCTTCCTTTACTTCCCAAGGCTTCCCTTTGACTCCCCTCATCCATGGGTCCCAATAGGCATACTCTAAGTAGAGTCACCAACCCAAACCGGGGGTTTGGATGCTGTGCGTAAAGCTCACAACTCAGCCCTTTGGAGAGGGAGAAGTTTGGCGAGGCAAGTGTGGAGAGGCCTGTGGTCCCCCCTCCCAAGATGGGCCCCCCGGGGACTGACTCACCCTGGGCTTGCTGCCCCCGATGGCCCCGGGGCGGATGGAGCCGGTCTCCTGGTACCGGCAGAGGATCTTGGAGACGCATCCGTGGGAGACGCGGAGCTGGCGGGAGATGACGCAGGGCCGGATCCCGTGGTGGGCCATCTCCACGATCTTGTGCCGGATGTGGTTGGGCAAGGGCCGCCCGTTGATGAAGACGCCCCCCAGCTGGTTGACCCGGCCTTGGCCCAGAGGGGTCGAGA